TAGCAATAAAATATTCGTTTATCTACAGGTATTATAACAATTTTATACATTAACAAGAGGCCCATGGGCCACATCGCTCACCTGAGCACTGTGGCTAGGAAGTAGAAATTGGTTTATTATTGAAAAGTTTAAATCCTAGAGTAAACCTTTGACCAGTTATGGTTTTGCTATTGTTGAGAAGATGATTTTTAAAGAATTTTCCTATATATTTCTATGTAAAACTTTAGTCAGCCATTGTGACCCCGCCCTACCCCCGGGGGTCATGATTTGAACAAACTTGAATCTACACTACCTGAGGATGCTTCCATATAAATATGATGAATTATGGCTTTGTCATTCTTGAGAAGAAGATTTTTAAAGAATTTTCCTATGTATTTCTATGTACAACTTTGGTCAGCCATTGTGGCCCCGCCCTACCGCTGGGCGTCATGATTTGAACAAACTTGAATCAACACTACCTGAGGATGCTTCAATATAAATATGATCAATTATGGCTTTGTTATTCTTGAGAAGCAGATTTTTAAAGAAATTTCCTATGTATTTGTATGTAAAATTTTGGTTGTCCATTGTGGCCCCGCCCTACCCCGGGGGGTCATGATTTGAACTTGAATAGACACTACCTGAGGATGCTTCCATATAAATATGATCAATTATGGCTTTGTTATTCTTGAGAAGAAGATTTTTAAAGAATTTTCCTATATATTTCTATGTAAAACTTTGGTCGGCCATTGTGGCCCCGCCCTACCCCCGGGGGTCATGATTTAAACAAACTTGAATCTACACTACCTGAAGATGCTTCCATATAAATATGATCAATTATGGCTTTGTTATTCTTGAGAAGAAGATTTTTAAAGAATTTTCCTATATATTTCTATGTAAAATTTTGGTCGGCCATTGTGGCCCCGCCCTACCCCCGGGGGTCATGATTTGAACAAACTTGATTTGACACTACCTGAGGATGTTTCCCCATAAGTTTCATCTTTCCTGGCACAGTGGCTCTTGAGAAGAAGATTTTTAAAACATACCACCAAATTTTCATTAATTCCCAATTATCTCCCCTTGAATGAGGGCGTGGCCCTTCATTTGAACAAACTTGAATCCCCTTCACCCAAGGATGCTTTGTGGCAAGTTTGGTTGAAATTGGCCCAGCGGTTCTTGAGAAGAAGTCGAAAATGTGAAAAGTTTACAGACAGACAGACAGACAGACAGACAGACGGACGACGGACAAAATGTGATCAGAAAAGCTCACTTGAGCCTTCGGCTCAGGTGAGCTAAAAATGTATATAGAAAATCGTATCTTTCATTTGAAAGGTTGACTCTCATATATATATTTTTTTAAAAAACATTTTTCCATGCACACTTAATTTATACTTTATACAACTGTAATTAAAGTCAACCTAAGGAGACTGTAATGAAATATGTTCTATGTCTAAAGTAATTACCAGTTTAACTGGCTTGTGTTATGTTTCAAGATATTACATGCTGAGACAAAGTTTGGCTTAAGGTCAGACGAGACGTTCCTCAAAATCTGTTGTGTATATCTTCGTAATGTATGAAAAATATTCAAAACTTTAATGACATTTTGATTTCTAAACCAGTTTCTAAACGTTTTTAAAAAAATCCAAAGACTTAAACATTTAAAATTGGAGAATTATTTTTCTTCCCCTAAGGATTATATAAGAAAAACTACACCTGGTATCTTGCAGAAATGCCTGGTAAGGTACCTCAATTTTTTGTGAGAAAACATGTATAAGTAGCAATAATTCAATGACAAACTCTTAGAAAAAATTATCTATTATTAAGGAACGTCTCGTCTGTCCTTAATATAGAATTACATTCAAGTAGCTGATAAACTGATATTATTGATTTTGGTAAATGGAATTACATTTTTATAATTATCTGAGTTGCAAGTTTTTATGCACACACATGATAACAAAATGATGCAGGAAACAATGACAATACAAAACAATGAAAAATTTCAATACTATTCTGCAAACAACGTATGTACCAGATGGGAATATATACTTTTTCTTTTAATATTTATAAATGAAATAGATATTATATACACTGGAAACAATATGATACTATTACTGTAACAATGCGCACAAAATAGAAAACTAAAAGCAATGAGTGAGGGTATTTATCAACTGGTTTCCAGATCATGTGCCACCTGTTCATGAATGGAGAAATTAAATATCAGCCAATGAAATACTATATAGAGGGGTATTCTCGCCCCCTGTTATTTTCACCCTTTCACACTCAGAAAATATTTTGCCCCATTTTAGATTCGCCCAGTTACAATTCTTTGTAAGAAATTACACTATTTTTTTTAATTAGCCCTGTTTTCAATTCGCCCTCCTGTGAGTTGAGGGCAAATGGGGCAAAAATAAAACAGAATTGAAAATTTCACTGTATACAGTAACTTCTGCTTAAGGTTTGATGTCAATTAATTCCTTATGTTCTTACAATAAACAATGAAACTATTCTCATTCAAAAATATTCAGAAAGTAAACTCTATAATGGAAAGTGTATATTTAAGGTTTATATCATTAATAAAAATTTTTGGTTGTCCCTCCCAACCACCTGGCTAAAAATTGCCTGACTCAAAACTTGTTTATCTCTAGGAAACAAAATCTTCTTTTAATGCATTTCAGACAATCCATTTCGAAAATTAAGCAATGATTTGAAAATTTTCTGTGAAAAAAAATTCCCATCTACCAACTGACTCAAATTCATTCTAAGTCAGGAGAGGGCAACAGACATTATTTTGAAGTTGGTCTTATGAATTTTGTCACATAGGAATACATAGATATATAAATACTTATGTTCACCGAAATCAATTATCACAAATACTCCAATGATGCATTTTTTTTACTTAAAAATAATTATCAATATCCCCCCAATAGATATATACTGTAGATTCCTAATTATACACGAGGAATTAATTATCGCGTAATTTCGCGAGAAGCAACACTCGCAAAATAAAGTTACTCGCATTTATTTTTATGATGCTGAAATCCATGTAAATTCTATTGATCAAGCGTCCATTCGTGAATTATTATTCTCTCGATTTGACGTTAGAGAGCCGTCTCGCGATAATAAGTACTCGCGAAAAATAAGGAATCTACGGTATTTAATATATCTAATATGCATTTACATATGTATAAACATATTGGTAGAAAGTGAAACTACAACATAACATTGGTGATAAATGTATCTGTTTCAATCTGATTTACGCTGCATTTGCTGATTAATATGAGGTTTGTTGTCAATTTAGACAGACAGGCAGACTGACAGACAGTAAAGTGACCCCTAATGGCTACAAAAACTTTCTCACACCAAACAAATAATTTCTACTTGAAATCATATTGGTGTGAGACAAGTTTTTGTCTCCAAAGCAACCGAAATTTTATTTACATGTGCAGTACATGCATTTTTTCTTCATTTTCAATATTCAATTTTGTAATATTTGGTAAGGTGTCATATTTGCACCTTCATCAATTCAGTATGTTTTAGCCTAAAAGATATTGGCAGAAACATATGAATTACTGAGAAAGCTGGTGAAATTGACATTTTCACTCTGTCCCTCTTCATTTGAAACTATCTATGCACCTTAGTGCAGCATTTCAGTCTCAGACTTTTTATACACTTGAATCATAATGGCAAGACAGCAAGTGCATTATAGCAATACTTTCCTCTCTATTTTGTTAAAGGAACAGTATTTAGTGTTGAAATCAACTCAATACCGAATCCGACATTTTTCATACAACAACAACAATTGCGAATATAAATATGGTTTCTGAATATGATTTTTTTTCCCAAAGGATAGAAGTGTGGCATACTGTCGAGTTTGTGACTCCAAATAATATGGCACATCATCCTTTGGTGTCATGGAGAATATGTAAATATTTAACCATAATTCCTTGAATATTTGTCATGATTTAAAAAAATAGATTTCAGTTTCATACTGCTGAATACTTGGTTACAAACATGATTAATATTGCTCTTAATGGGCAATAAAGATCATCAACATATACATGTTAATCAATACTTACTGAATACTAATTGAGTGTATTAGTACAATAAAACTCGGTTATAGCAAAGTCCTTGGGATCTGCGAATTTAATTCGCTATATCTGTAATTCGTTAAATCTGTATAACGAATTCGTATAACCATATATAACGAATTCGCAGTATGTATGTATTACTACCAAATATGTTAGGGAAGTAAATATTACAAAACATACCTTTGATAACTAATTTAAAGGTTTTATCTTGAATATACAAATGCTAAAAGAAAATAAAGTCAGTCCAATTTATCAATTTTTGAGATCTGTGAAAGCTCGTTATAAAAGATGTTAAATCCATTATATTTAACATTAACAGGACTCAAAATCAGTTTGCTATATCCGTAAATTTCTTATAACCGTAAAATTTTGCTAAGATTTGTTAAGAATTTTGCCAGGGACCCAGAAAAACTTCGCTATATCTGTGAATTTGCTAAATCCGTGTTCATACTAAAAGATTTTACTGTATGTGTATCTTACCATAATCTCTTTCTTCAAAAATAGTTAGCCTGTGGAAGGCAATATCTCTTTGTAATTTTCAATAGTGGAGAACTAATATAGGTTAGTGAATTACAAAATTATTCAGATACTTATGAGATGATTCTTAAATACCTGAATGAAAATTAAACATATGAAATGGTGCTTTATTGGTAGATTTACCGTACAAGATAGGGGGGGTTGTGGTTGTAGACATGCAATGCAACCATTTAGTCAAGAACTGGAAAGCAATGAGATACAGGTATTGAAAAATTACCACTCTGGTATTGCACCTCTACTATATTCGTTTTATAAAATACTAAAGCAGTTTATACAAAGGTGTGACAAATGAGGATTATCAGAGATGGTGCCAAAAATAAATAAACATTTATATATAACTCTACCTAAAAATATCATCCAAAGAAATTTTTGAAGTACATATCTCTGACAGGATCTTTTTGACATTGTAATGCAGACATTCTATCCTAATTATCTCTAAATTTTGTAAATATGAATTCAAGTTTATATTGCCAAATTGAAGTTTTACATCATAAATGCAAAAACTTTTTTAAGTGAAAAGGCACCTTTCTATAATAAAATTTCATTGCACACCTTTGTCTGCTTTAATGACAACTTTGTTCAATGTTATTCCAAGCCTCTTGATCATATTTTGTGACAGCATTCTTGAAGGTGTCTCTTGTTATGCATCCTATCTTTTTTCTCAATTGCAGTAGGGTCTGGTAAGCTTTTTCTTTGACAGATTCTCCCTTATAGTCTATGTCTACTGCCTGTATATCTATTTCAGGAAGTCCTAGTTCCCTGACGACACTGATGTAAAGTTTGTCTGGAATCAGGTATTTAGAAGCCTCCCAAAGATCTCTTTCTGTCAACTTTTCTCTACCATCTGTAATAAGTAACAGATTGTAAAATACATGCATTATGTAATTGAATCAGTGTATTCTTACCATTATATCAATTTTAAAATCTTCTTAGGTGAAAGATTACTCTCTTACAGTGTAGCATTTTCTAAAGCTTTCAGAATTTCAGTATGTAACAATAAATGTATATAATATCTTCATATCTTTTGATTTATAAATGAGTTATATTGCTATACAATCTGATGTTTTTATGATCATTTTTATATTATACTTCAAAATTCGAGGAAAAACCATGATTGCAATACCTGATGATTTTGGAATAAATCTTACTTTTAGTATCCTTAGAGAATACAGTCACATCCGTATTTGATTCCTTCACAGAATTTAGAATGGGACCGAGGGCTTTATGCATGAAATAATCCCTCTCTCTCTTCCCATCCAGTGGATATGACCACTGGCGTTCATATTGGATCATTCTGGCAAAGCTTTCTCTGTGATTGCTGCCTTCATCTGATTCATATGCTGGACTCTCCTCTTGGTCTGAATTGTCGACCTGAGGGCAGTCCTGAATGGACAGACTTTCCAGTGACTCATGGAATGTCTTTGATTTTAAATCTAAACTGTTCAAACTAGAGGATTCTTGTGTCTCCTGAATAGGGAAATTAGACGCCTCTTGGCTTTGGTTGCAATGGTCTTGATTATTGCTGCCATCCACACATAAACTTTCTTGAGACTCCCTCAAGAGTACACACTGGGGTATGGTGGAATTAAGAGCATCTGAATCCGAGGCCAGTGAATTAGTTGATTCCAGAAGTGGGGATATTTCCTCATCATTGGGTGACATTTCAATAACTGTATGATCACTGCTACTGTTCATCTCCTTTAAACTCTGGCTTCTGAAAAAAGTGTTATTAATACAACACAAAAAATCTTAATGAGATGGTCCTATATATAACTCATGCTTCTTTTAAATCTTCTTTTGTATATACCCAACTTTCTTATATCAATCTCTTAAGCGTTCCACTGAGATAATACTGTAAACCAACTATTATTTAATAGCGTCATCTTTTATTCCCGTCAGTTTGTAATCAGACTGCAACATTTCATTTTTGTGACTGAAGTAATATTCTCTACCAATTGAAGCAAAATAAATGGATCACAGTGATAAATATTAGTGAATTAAAGGAAGTTACGAAATTTGCTAAAATTCCTCACACGTGAAAAATAGTTGATTTACAATAAGAGGGCTGATTGAAAAATATCTATTTGCTATATAAGTTTGGAATTCCACTTTGTACTTACGAACTGTTCTGTAAATCTGTTCCTGCTTTATTATCCATAGCTCTTAGACTATAAACTGAAAAAAAAGGATTATTTATAATTACCCACTTCTGTAATTTGCACCAATACATACAAAAACAAATCCGAACATATGACAATTACTAAAGAATGAGTGTGCTAAAATTTCAATCATTTGCGATGAAGGGTTGCTGCGATCAAAAATGAGTTACAGACAGAAAAATGGATAAACAGGAAGTTGACATCCATCAGATTAAAAAGAGTCCCTAAAATTTCAAGCATCTGCAAGTTGCAGGTAAAACTGTATAGGAAATTTTGAACACACAGATGCATAAACAGGGAATTGAAATGAGATTTGAACAGAAATGAATTCCACTATAATGCATGCCTTAACATAGCTGCAGTCATGTAGTCCTCTCCCTTTTTTGGGAGAGGCCTCTCCATAAAATATCAGATGAAATAATTGGAGAGGGCTGCATATTACTGCAGCTAGCCTAAACAGAGAATGTGCTAAATTTCAATCACCTGCGATGGGTAGTTCCTGAGAAATCTGTGAAAAAAAATTGTTAGGGAAAGACATATGAATATACAGACAGACACACAAGTATAAAATACTGAGTAATATACCCTCTCCTTTGGAACAGGGATATATAAACATTTATTTTTTTTAAAAAATCCCCATTAATTGACCAGTAGCCTAACACTTGGTCCAGCTTGACCCCTAAAGTCCCTATGATGGACATTACGTACAATTTTGAGAAGAGGATATTTTGCTCATTTTAATCTGCAAACAGATCTTCTGATAAATTAAACACTGGAATACAGTAAAACTCGTTTAGAATGAGCACGGATACAATTGCAATATTGCAAATTCAGGGATATGGCGAAGTTATCTTTGATCCCCAGCTATATAAAAATAAACATTCCTTAAAAGGATATACATGTATAAGGAATAACAGATATTGCGAAGTAATTTCATAGGTCCCAGTAACTTTGTTATAACCGAACTTTACTGCAAGTAGTATAGTTTTTGAAAGACTGCTTGAGTTTTGATTATTCTGGTCTCATTCTTTAGGTCCCAGCTGAACAGTGACCAGAAATTCGGTCTTCATTCCATTATATGCATACCACAGATAAAAATGGGTTGCATTAATTCTGTTTTATTTACATATTCCTTCATGTTGTGATTTTTTTAGCATACTCATTCAAGCCAGAAAAGAAAATTTCTATTAAAAAACTTAATTATTCATTAGATAAATTAAAAATCAAACATTAAATTTTTTTCCAAAGGTTTTTACTGCCATTCATTGACATATACTTTCTCTTACCTTTATCTGTGCATATAAAGCATTTTCCTTTGCGCAGATAAATGATCAGAAGAGACACAATTATGATAATGGTAAGACATATTAGTCCAGCAATAATGATGAAGTTCAGACTATTGCCTACAAAAAAATAAAAAGGATATACTCTGTATTAAGTTTGATTGAAATTTACTCTGTGTTGCTGGAAAAGATGTAATACATATACCTGGTATTGTAAAAAAAAGTTAACAATGACAATTTTGACAATGACAAAAGCAAAAGACAATGGACAAATTTTGATCACAAAAGCTCACTTCAGCCTCCAGCTCAGGGGAGCTAAAAAAAATCAAATACCAAGGATGTACATGTATGTATTTAAACAAGAAAATCATACTGCTCAAAATTTCCTTCAAAGCTCACATTTATTACCGGTATACTCACCATTTTCATCACCTTTACTTTCAGCATTTGTTCTCCCTCCTGAATTCACAGACTTAGGACTAAGTCAAATAGAAAACAAGAAATTACCCCAAAAATATATATCTATAAATTACATACATGTACATGTACATGCATAAGAATTAAATATAAAGAATAATAAACACTAAGAAAGAGCAACTGCATAAACTGTCATTAAATAACATACTTTTCTATATTTTCTGCAAGGGGCAAGACTCCATCACACACTGTATCCTTCAGGTGTGTACATGGGGCAGTCTCGTATTGACCATGGAGTGTACAGTTCCTACAAACTGTACATTCATAGGATCGACCTTTACTGAAAGTGCCAGGTCTACATTTCTGACAAGGTCTGCATTCGGTGGGTCCAGTTTGGGGATTCCAGTTTCTCAAATTCCATTGCTACAATTTAAAAACAAGAGGCCCATGGGCTACAGTGCTCGCAAAACTGCCCGATTAGTATACCACTAAATTATAGCTTTGTGCATCGTGTCAAATGCAATGTTTTCATCTTTTTTTTAAAAAATCTGTATGCAGGTAAATAAATATGATAATTTCTGCTTATACATAAATTTCATTTTTTGTTTAAATTTAGATAAAATTTTTAATTGAAAATTATTTTTTTCTATCTTAAATATGACGACAAAATTTTCATGTTCATAGTTATAAATTAAAATAGCAAATTAAAAAGTACCTCCATAGGTATGACTTCATCCCCTTTTAGGCATACCTCACACTGAAAACAGGCGAGGGCCTGGGAATGATAGTACATGTTGTCCTCAGGGTCACATTTAGGAGTTCTCCCCTCCATCATCTGGAGACTTATCAAGATACTCATGGAAAAAAGCATTGTGTATATCTCTGATGTTGGCGCCCTCATTTCTATTTCAAAAAACAAAACAAAAAATTTGTGATGAAATGCATGTTAGCAACATGCATGCAGTATTATTTATACACTGCTATATTCACACTTACCCCTACTTTTGAGAGAAAGTTTTGGTGTAGATAGTTTTCAGTAGGCCCATATTAACAAGAGTTATTTCCCGTTGGCCGCCATCTTGTGGGCCAACCAAGTAATTTTCCTTCTTTGTCCTACCAAATATAAGCGGGCGTAGCAGAAATATTTGGGGGGAAATTGTTATGGAATAAACATTATGAAATAAAGGAGGCTCTAACAAATTAATGTATAACTGTCAGAAAAACAATGCTTTCCAGCCCACAATAGCCAGTATAAAAAGTTAAAGTTGGTTGAATTATGAAGGAATATGAGCATGTTGACCCACAATATGGCGGCCGAAGGGAAATAACTCTTGTTAATTTGGGTCTACTGAAAACTATCTATACTGGTATTGAATACAGCCATCTGTTTTATCTGTCAAACTCTCTTGTCATCACTTTTATATTTTTTTTTCATACATGTATATTGAGGTAGCCAAAAAAAAAAAGGGGGGGGTTCCAATGCTAGCATCTAATCATTTGTATTTCTCTGGTATGTCTTTCCATGTTACTTTTCAGAATTTGTTCTTGTAATTTTAACTACATGACTGTATAGGTCATGAACAATGAGCAAAACTTTATACCCTTGAATTTTTATTATGGGGGCCCCATAATTCAAAGAGATGCCCTTTAATTGAAATCAAAATAATAATTTTAAAATATCAACACAAAAATAAACCTGTAAATATACATATGGTACTGGTAGGCCCTGTATGTTTTTAATTAATCAACATTATATTAGTTAAATCTTTGTACTCTTTAACAATTATTTGCAGCAATTTAATATAAATTATGGATAATTATTGTTTTTACAATATAATGTACAAAATGATGTCTTGGATTTATTTGCGCAGTTACCAGGTCCAGTCCAAAGACTATTTCTACCTACGTAGGTATTAATACCTATCTAGGTATTTAAAGCTACCCAAAGTAGCTATTTTTACCTACTTTCTGCTTTACTTGCATTTTGTGGCCAAATGCAGGAACGGCGCAACATGGTGAGCACAACATTTCTTGACACAGGCACACTGATGATGAATATGACAAAAATTTGGCCACAAAATGAAAACTTCGTATATTATCAATTTTGCATAGAAACTAATGTAAAATTGCCGATTCAGGAAGTAATCATTTTTTGGCCAAAATTTTGTCGTATTCATCATTAGTGTGACCGCATCAAAAAATATGGTATTCACCATGTTGCGCCGTTTAGTCTTTTGGTCGCAAAATGCAGAACTTGTACAAAGTAGGTAAAAATAGCTACTTTTGGTAGCTTTAAATACCTAGGTAGCTATTAATAGCTACGTAGGTAGAAATAGTCTTTGGACTGGACCTGGTTACGTCCATATTCATTATTCAGAAGAAACTCAACAAATCTGCAATCCTATTCAATAATCTTGTCATGGAACATCATACCTTTTCTCCAGAAGTTTCATATCTCAGGGCAGAGACTAATTCAATTAATAGGAAAGTTGCAACCTTCAAAAAGATGCGATTTTCCTAGTTTTTTGATAAATTATTTGCCTATCGATTACATTTAACTTTCGTTTTGACAGATACCGGTTAAAACCAGTCCACTTCGTATCATTCGGCAAGTATCGATACTTCTCGGGTAGGCCTACACAGAAAATTCATCGGATCTAACGCAACATTGTTGTGTGGCAAAGGCATTTAAAAATGCTACCAGTGTGAGTTACAGGAGAGAGAGAGAGAGAGAGAGAGAGAGAGAGAGAGAGAGAGAGAGTTAAATTAAGTACCGTAAATCTGGAAATTTTTGCTGTAGATAAATTTTTAGCAAATTTGCGAGTTCATTGCATTCGCAAAAATATTTTTCTTAAAAATAAATCACCAGTAAGAAACTGTAAAGAAAGCAGTGGTCATTCGCAAAGTTTTGAAACGTAAATATTAATCAACAGCATTTTGACTGAATTCGCAAAATAAAATCAACGTAAAAATTTCTAGATTTACGGTATACGTTTAAAAACGTAGGACATCATTAACTCAAAGCAATGACACCCTTAATATTTAACATCCTCATAATAATGTACTATTGATTTATTATTATTTTTTAATCATTTGATTCTATTTGTAACACGTAATTTAACTGGATAAAAGATTTAGTATATATCGTATATAGCATAAGTTTCCTACGTCACAATGAGTTACGTCTAAAACGTATAACTACGCTTGACGTTTCTTTTTAAAAAAAATATGCTCAATTTGAAGCTATTTTTGGAGGGAAAATTGTCTTATTATATATACTGAAATTAAATTATAACGAATGAAGCTTATTTTAAGTTAACCTTTGTTATACGATATAATGTAACTTGAACAGTTTACGCTTTTTTAAAAACCGCTTCGCAATTTATAAAGCGTATAAACTGCCCCAAGTTATGTTATATCGTTTAACATAGGTTATAGTAAGCATCATTCCTTATAATTAGTTGTTTAGATCATATTTAAGGTATTGTTCGTTTATTCTTAAGATTAAATTGAAAAAGAAACATTATACATATTATAATGAAAACTTGACTGACAGTTTATGAGAGTAAACTTAGTTGAAAGTATTTTTATGTATCTGTTAAAAATATTTTCAAATAGTGCATGTATTTTATAATTCGTGTACATGTACTCAAATAATTGATAAAATATATATACTGTATATTTTTGTCATTGTTTTCATCTATTATTCAGGTCTATTCCACAGGGGTTTGCGTACCTAACAATTTTACCAGAGACATAATTATAATATTATTTACCGAAATTTTCAGTAAAAATTAAAAAAAAAACGTAATACTTATAAATGTTATTGTTATATAGGTATTACGTATTTTTTTTTAATTTACTGAAAATTTCGGTAAAATTGATAGGCGAATTCCTGTGGACTATTCCTTTACAATGCAGCTGTACTCCATAAGCATGAAAAGTTGTGTTCGACTCAGTGCGACTCGCTATGATCAAAATTATAAATAGCTAAGGGAATTTCCAACAAATAATGTAAGGTACTTGGGTATGACCAGCAAAAAAAAGGGGGGGGGGATTTCGGAAATAAATATTTCCTTGGTTATAACTATTGAAAATAATATGTCCTTTCCTACAAGGGCATGAAAATAATAATCTGGCTCGATAAAATTTGACCCCTCCTCCTTTCAGCAACAAGTCCTTATCCACATATGTAGAAGTCATAGGTGTCGGAATCGGGGAGGGGGGCTTTCAACTTTTTTGCAAAGATAGACATAATAATGGCATTGAACAATGAGGCGTAGGTTAGCCCCCTCCCCTTTTAAGAACATGCACATATGCAGTGTATTCAAAGAAGGATAAGTGGTAAGGTTTTGAAAAAAAAAATGGCACTGGAAGAAGTTTGACTCCCCCCTTCGATTTGCTTCCGACACCTCTGTTCAAATTCGAGCTTTAGATCAATTTCATTCACACAGTCAAGTTTTTGTTCTGGGAAACTTGGGGACTGAACCCCCTTTCATTTTTTTTTTTACTTTTTAAATCTGGGATTGATACACACATTAGTCATACCTTTTTCTTCTTTTTGTCCCCCGCTGAAAGTGGGGAATATTAATTTCGGTCTGTCTGGCAGTCCGTCTGCGGAGTTTCTGTCTGTCTGATCATACACCATACACTCTGGGGTTAATTGTGCGTATTTTCCAGTATTCTTACGTTATTTCTTTGTTAACCCCTCATTTACAGGGTATATTTATGCTTGATATTTATGGATAGAAATACAACTATGTCCGTTTGTCCGCAAAAACTTAAACACTGCTCATAACTTTTGATTGGTTGAAGCTACACGTATATGGCTTTCATAGTTCATGTGTATTCCTTATGACAAGACATTCCTTTCCGTATCAACATATTTGACCTCTTGACATTGGAGTTTGACTCACCTTTACAAACTTTAATCAACTTTAACCTTGGCCATAATTTCATACAGTTGGTGCTATCATTTTTCACAAGTATATTTATCATGACAAGACCTTTCCATAAGTGTAAAAACTTGTAGTTTGACCCACTTATAAAACATTTTAACCAAGGCCTTAACTTTTGAACAGTAAAGCAGTAGGGCTTGAAATTTCATAGGTATTTTCCTTGTGACAAGACCTTCCTTTGGATACCAACAATTTTGACTTTGGAGTTTGACCTACCTTTCAAAAACTTAAACCTTTGCCATAATGTTTGACAATTTTGTGCCATGGGTTTTATATAATTACTGTGCATGTGTATTTCTTATGACAAGGCCTACCCCTGGCACCAATAATTTTGACCCTTTGACCTTGGAGTTTGACCCACTTTTAGAAAACATTAACCTTGATTATTACTTTTGAATGGTTGCTGCTTGGGCTTTCTAAATCTTACTTACAAGGTATATTCATTGACACAAGTCCTTTCTTTGGGTACCAACATTTTATCTCTTGACCTTGACCTTAGAGTTTGACTTGCATTTGAGAAATACTTCTCTCCTAATTTCTTCTACATTCAATCACTTTGCTTTTTATAAGGGGTGGGGGATACAGAAAAGTTTGGGGTGTACCAATAGAACCACTCCCTCCACAACATTTAATAACTCCTAATGCAAATGAGTGAAATCATGTGTCACAATCAGGGTTGAAGATTGGGGGGGAGGGGTCAACTTCAGATGGGATAAAGAGATCTGATAATGGCAACAAGGCAAAGCCTCAGGATGGGCTAGAGAACAAATTTTCAACAAGACAATGGTGATAACCTAATGGAAACGAAGCTTAGGAGTGTGATAAACCTGAACACAATTATCACTCATTGTTACCCTTGTATTGTTCCTCCCTCACTTAAATTGCTTTGAAGCCTGTATACTTGTATACTTACGAGGGGTGATCAAAAAGTTCGCAAACTAATTGAATAACTTCCATACAAGAAACAATATTTGGTTTTAATGTTGATTATATTTTAAATCAATCCTCCCCGATTTTAATGCACATCAACCACCGTTCAGCGCATGCGCGAATCACGTGATATTGGTGGTCACGTGACCCCCTCCGTAGCGTTCTGTCACAAAAGTTAAAAGATTTTTCCGAGTTTTATATTTCTTTCCATGTGAGTTAATTTTTATGACAAGAACAGTTAATTTTTATGACAAGAACAGTTAATTTGTCAGAAATGGTCAAATCTCGGCAACAGAATGGGTGGATAATAACATCCTTTCAAAAAATAAGCATGGCGACCATTAAAACACAAATCTTCTGTCTCAGGAGAGACCTTTGTTCAAGGTGGATAGAGAATGGGTGCATCCTTTTTATCATATCTAATATGTTTAAAATCTAAAGTAAACGATATCTTAGGTATTTAATACTTATATCATTGTTCAAATATTCAACTATTTTTCAAAGTGCTAATTGGAGGTCTTTGATAGCAAATTGCTTAATTAAAAATACATATCTTTTCAAACTTGCTTTCACTGGGCAAGATGACAAGTATCATTTTTAACCATCAGCCTTCCTTCACAAAAACGATTAATCCAATCATTGATTTAATTATTAGGAACTCATTTATCTCAATAAACTGTGTACAAATTATTATATGATACTGTAGAGGGATTTCTAAGATATTGCAATAAATTGTACAGTCGTTTGTTGAACGAGCTCGACTGAGACAACCATTTTTCACGTGACCTAAATAGTGACGTCATTTTCACATTGTGACGTCACAAACAAGGAAAGAAACTTTATTCAGCATATGCTGTTTATAGACCTTGTGTATGGCTATGTGTGTACCGAATTTCATTCTAATCTGAAATGTGGTTTTGTAGATATAGAGATAGTTTGCGAACTTTTTGATCACCCCTCGTATATATGTAAACTTGCTCTCTCACTGCTCCCTTCCTATAAACACAATTTTCAGTACTTTTTATTATGCCCCTGTAATCAAAGATTCAGGAGTACCGGTATATAAAGTTTTGTCCATCTGTCTTTCTGTCCCCCATAAACTTTAGCCTTGTTCAGAGGTTTTGTTTGGTTGGAGCTTTGCCTTTCATATTCAAAATCATAAGTAACAAAAATTGATTTATTCTGATAATTCAGCACAACTACATCTTGTTCACAGTATAAAATAATGGTAACATTTTGAATGTTGTAGTGTAACTTGCACCTAACTTTTGTGAAACTTTCAAACAATGCATGATCTTGGCTTAGCCATTTTGAAATTCACGTGCATGCAATAGTCATATAATGATTCATTTAAAACAAACCAACCTTCATTAAAAATAAAAAAAAATTAAATCTTTACATAAATTTATCAGTTTAAAACTAGTTTATAGCCATTAAACTGTTAGGGCAGCTTTTTCTGCTTAAAAAAAAAGAGATTACAAATTCTGTAAAAGATGCATTAGGTCAGTCTAATGTGCATTTCTGCAACTGATCATGAAAAAGAATGTAATTATCTTACTTCTTACCAGTCAAGAATCTATTACTACAACAGCTATACTTGTGGACATACAGACCATATACACATACTTGGTGAACATTTCTTTCTCTGTGAACTTAAGTTCACCACTATAGATGTCTAATACACTGACAAATTATTATGAATAAAGTTAGTAGGAAGAAAAGGTAGAAAAATACA